TTAATTCGTTCCAGCGAAATCGATGTAGAACGAAAACGTCGTAAAGCGATTTTTAAAAGTCCATAGAAACGCATTAAAACCCGGTTAATGCGTTCCTATGGGCTGGAAACTCACCGTCCAGCGAAGATCCTCCATAGCGCGGTCATTTTTGCTGCCTGTGCAGGAGGAATCCGTCCCAGAAAACAGCAGGCGACCATTTTTTTTACCCGGCGGCCATTTTGAAACCACCAATCAGCTGTTAAAAATCATCGCTTTGCGAGAATCAGTTCCCGAAGCAAGGAACCGATCATCGCAAAGCGAAATTCCCCCATAGGGAACATCATTTTGCGAGCGCTTTTGCGATCGCAAAAACATTGACGTCAAGCGGTTTCGTCGTTAAACGGAGCCCCATCTTGCGGGGCCCCACTGTATATAATGCCTTTATTTCATCATCCTGTGATGAGTCTAGAGTTCAAATCCCACTCCTATCTATATAACCAAACTCATCAGTTCTGTCTCTCTAGCATGGAAATATTCTATCCATCTTTGTCTACCAATACCAATCTATAATAGTGATAGCCATGATGTTTTGTGATAAGCGATAGAAAATATGCCCACTGAATTCATTGTTTGCCTCTGTTTACTGTGTTTCCCCAAAAATAAGACAGGGTCTTATATATTACTTTTTGCTTCAAAAACATATTAGGGCTTATTTTCAGGGGATGTTTTATTTTTTTCATGTACAATCTGCAATTTATTCAAATGCAGTCATATCATCTTCTGGTTGTTGCACAAGGGTGGAGGGTGGGCTTTCACTTAACTAGGTCTTATTTTCGGGGAAACAGGGAAGGCTGTCTTGACAATATGCATGTATTGGGGGAAAACTTTAAAGCCCTGTGATATTTCTCATCCCGTGGTGAGACTGGGATAAAGCATTGTCTTTCTGATGGTTGTTGTGGGTTTTTCAAGCCCTTTGGCCATGTTCTGAATGAAGGTTGTTCTTCCTAACATTTCGCAGTCTCTGTGGCCATCATCTTCAGCGGACAGGAGTCAGAACTTTTTCTGTGCTCTGGTTGTCTTTCTGCTCAAAGTCTCTGTACTATAGGTAAAATGCATCTAAGGTCCCTTCCCTTTTCAGAAGGAACGCTCACACATACAGCCAGCAGGCACAGAAGGGCTGTTTGTTTTTAAAAAAGAGACACATTCAAATTCTTAAACAAAGCTGTCACTTACCTCATTTTGCGTCATTTGCAAAGTTTCACAAATTGTACAGAAATGGGCTGTTTTGCACAAACAACTGGTGAGAACCCGGCTGAGAGCAGCAAGGAATTCCTTACTGCCTCAGTGGCAAAGAACAAAATGTTGCAGTTTCAGGCAAGGTTTTACTTTCTTATTTCTAATGCTAGCTAACAAATGGGATGCTGGAATCTGTCGTCACATAGGAAGCCGAAGTACACAACCAGTTTTCCATGCTATGGCTCCAACTCGGTTGACCAAGGGGAAAGGATACATAATTTGAAAACAAGTCTCAGTCATCCGAACGCACCTGCTGTTTGGAGGGAGTCTCCAAAGGAAGGCATTTCAGAGTTGAAATGAGGGAGTGCCCGTCTGCATAAATCTTGGCTGTGGGTTCCCAGGAGCAGGAAGAACTAATGCCCTGCTCTTCTAATTTGATTTGAGGATTCCACATGACAACAGCAGGACTTGGGGAAACGGCTCTTCACTCTAACCTCGTTTGAGTGATCATCTTTTGTTTGCATTACGGCAGCTCTCAAGCTGACAGCTATCAAATCAGATTACTGAATGTTGCCTACGGTGACACTTGCCAAAACGGAACTACTGAAGAATCAAAAACACAGGAGATTTGACTCATGTGCTTAGCTCACCAAGAACTGGGGAACTAAAAAACAGCTTGAAAGGGTCTTTACCTTCCCGTTTTCCCGTATTTCAATTTTTTTAACTCTGGTTAAACAGCTTTGCAGGTTTTCAGAAGCAATGAGAAAACTGGCCACACGTGTTTAGAATTAGCAAAAGTGGGAGATGCACACAGCGCAGGCAATGATCCCTCTTCTAAACTATCTTCAGCTTTCTGGAAAAAAATCATTGTCTGTGTCTAGCACAAGACATACGCTGTTTAAAAATATTTTTCACTGATGCCCAAAGAAACATTGTCTGTGCTGCTTCGTTCTTAGGCTCTGGAATAAATATCAGTGCCTTACTTGGCTATTTTTTACGTGCATTAGCCAGATTTTGACTGCCAGAACACACTATTAGGTGAAGCCATCCCCTCAAAGCTACATGTTAAATGGGTAACACACATCCCAGATGCCCTCACTTCAACTGACACAGGCTTCTACTAATCGTACTAAAAATACCTGTATGGAGTATGATATTTCTTCTTTTATGGTTTGGATTTTCCATATATTAGGTAAACGTGCAGAGCAGGAGGCAGCAAAGTATGGCCCTGGGGCAACATAAAGTCCACCAAGGCCATTTTTGTGGCCCCAGCCATCCCCCACGACCCAAAGGTGAACTGTAGCTCTTAAAATCTTCTAGGAGTAGTGATTCGCCTCTTACTAATAGCCTTTTACTAATGGGAAATAGTTTTCCCTTGTATTCTTTGGATTACTAAACTTAAGTTTTATGCTACTTAAACAGAAGCTTATACTTTATTAGAACAAACATTCTTTTTATAGAGAAGAAATACTATCTACATATATGAACTATAAAGTTTAGTGTTAGAGAACTGTGATTTTTCCAATATACATCCATGTAGTTTTTTATATATCCCCAATATATTTCATATGTTTAGCTCTTATTTACTTACTTAATTGCTTGCTAGCTAAATAAATCTTTTAAAAAAAGAGAAGGATCCATTTTTCATCTTTCAAGTCAAAATACTAAAATTTATCCAGGAATGAAGAATTAATTGAATATAAAACAAGGTACAATATCTTCTGAGACCACAATTAAATTCCTTGTCAGGCATGTATAAGACACAAATCTAAAAGTCTCTCACAGGGAGTCTGTAAATCAGGAACCCTATAGAGGACATTTATATATTCCTGTATGGAATCTGACAGCGTATAACATCTTATCCCTCACATGGAGGGGTTGGATGGAGAATGCGACAGAAACCTCGAAACAAGGCCTAGTAAGAGTGGATGACGTTTAGCTGGGTCAGAGGCCAGGGAGGGGATAATTCTCTCTGACTCAGTCCTATCCAATTCGCCAGCAAAGTAACCAGCCTTTTAATGTCTTCCTTCTCTGCTCTAACGGATCCTTCCATTTTTAAAATCTATATATTTGAAAAACTGATTCTTGGAAGTGGGATTAAACAACTAGAGGGCAAGACAGTTAAATTTCTATGACTTACTCTGAACACAGGAGTGCTCTCAGAGCAGACTGTTTGAGCACAGGGTAAACACATCTCTGAATACAAAAAGAAAAGATCATTCTGTTGCATACAAATTGTTGCTATAAAAGTCCTGAAGGATCTCTAAAACACTCAGTGCTCTGCGAAAAGGATGGTTGATTTGTTCCTAATAAATAGACTGCTACAGGATTGCTGCCCAAGTAGATACCTTAAGTGGATGTTGGATGGAACTAAATAAAGAAAATTAAAGTTAAAAAGAACATCTGGACTCAGAGTTTATTTAACTGTGGAATTAACTAGAGTTGTCAGAAGAAATGTTAAATGACTGCAGGTGAATGTGAGAGGAAATAAGATCTTAAGTAGGATAATAGGAATGGATAGACTAGCAGCTGAAAGGATGACAAAGTTCTGTCAAGACAATAAGAAAATGGAACAGGTATCTGTGTTTCCTCTTATCTATAGCAGCACGCATTGTCCCAGGAGATTCTGAAATACATATCAATCAATTAGCACCCACAGAGGGGAAGCCATAGCTTAATGGTAAAAGGCAAGCTTTTTATGCAAGGAGTCCCGCATTCAGTACTCTGTTCCTCCAATTAGAAGCTTTTTATTTGACTAGGACCCTGGAGAGCTGCTACCAGTCAGAGCAGACAGCATTAGGATGGATGGGAAAAACAATTGTTTTTGTATGAGACAGCTTTCTGTGCCCAGAGATCCTATTTTAAAGTTGACCAGTTGCAATAACAATTTTGCGGTTTAATTTTAAATAGTCTACATGTGGCCTCAGAATCAAAGCAAACCCCCAGGGGACGTCAGAGACATCAGATAAACTGAGCAGGTGTTCCAACAAGACTGAGACACATTGCCTAGGCCTTCATATCAAAACAGACCATCCACTTGCTGTAATACTGACATAAACCAGCCAGTCACATCTGCCTAAAACCAGCAGATAAGTCTTATATGAGAGGAATCTAAGAAGGAAAAGTAAGGTCATGTCACATTTTCAGGATGAGGCTTGGCACAGCCCTGGGATCACCATGGTTTCTCATTATGTTCATGAGCTATGGTGAACCTCAGGCTTCTGCAATTCCTCCAGGAGTACAGATGAGAACCTTTTATTTGTGGTTTTCAACAAGCCACAGTTTCCCATTTTGTCAGAATATTGGAAAGCCACAAGTGGAAGCCTCTCATCCTTCAAGGAAGGAAGGAAGGAAGGGGTGTGCAAGCCTACCATGGCCCATGCATATAATGAGATGCCATGGTTTCTAATGGTCCTTCAGCTAGTGAAAGCATACATAGGCAATGTCATCTCAACACATTTTACAGCCCGAAACAGAACCCAATGGTTCCCCCATTAATCCACAAGACTAAACAGTTTTAATAATCATGTTGAGTCATCTAGACATCAATTTCTCCTTCCACTTCTTCCCCTCACCCTACCACACTGCAGCCTAAAGCAAACTGCTTCACCTTGCTGCACGGCAGTGCCAGCCTTGGATTCATGAGACACACTAATGTTCTCACTTATTGTACATTCTTTTAATTGGTCAGCCCTGTGGTTCCACACAATAAAATGAATGAATGAACAAAAGCAATCTGTATACACAAGTTTACAGTCCAACTCATTCAAGATAAAATGTCCTACCTGAGTGTTCCAGAAGCACCTCCTATCCAATTGTAGCAAATGACTAGGCTCTCTGAAGCTTCACATAACAAGATCAGGTTTTCTGCAATAAAAAAGATATGCAGATAATTACCAAAAGTGCTGAGAATTTTTATGTTCTTAATTATATCACAGGGCAGAATACAGTATAGACATTCACAGAAGAGCCACACTTTGTTCTTCACAATAATTTCCTTCAGGTGCTTTCCCTCACTGGCACTGGGATGGTTTGCCTGCTACCACTCAGGTCCTTTACTTTCTTCATCTCCTGTTCTTAAACAGCAGGTGATTAGCATCAGTGTAACACTGGAGAAAGGTGAAGATCTCTCCCTTGCTGCCAAGATGTGCTTGTTAAATGGTGGCCATACGGTTGGTTCACAAATGTCCCCTGAAAAAGCTTTGGATTTCCGTACATATTATTCTTTGTCTGGAAGCTGCCTAGAATGGTCACAATGACCAAATAGGCAGGGTATAAATAAAATACATAAATAAATAAATAAAATAAAAATAGTTTTACAACAAAGGAGAACAGGGTTTTGAATGGATAAGGGCCTACACAAGGAAGAGACATTTTCTTGTCTGTCTTTGCTTTCCTTCAATAAATGAGTCATATGAGTTGGCTGTCTCGTGTAGGAAGTCATGCCCATGGGTTATAATGCACAAGGAACACAGCAGTATGCCGTGAGTACACAACCTATATAGCTAGGATTGGGGTTACTTTCTCCTTTGGTCATTCTGAATATATTCTTCTTCCTCTGAGAACAGGGGATGATAATGGGAAAAAGTACTTCTAATGGAGTAAGTGAAATACCTGCAAAATACCACCCCAACTGAAATGAAGACCTTTGCAAATTACCCTGGCACATCACAGTGATTTCTAGGGAAATCAATCTTTTTAAAAAATACTGTAAAGTGAGTGGATGTTTACAGGCAATGTATGTTTTGAGTGCTGTTTCATCAGCCAAGCATGCCATTCAATCAAACAGGCTCCCTTTTATAGGTATGAAGACTCACACTGGGAGAATGTCTCAAAAATATTTATGAACTTACAAATAACCATAAAGTCATGCTGGAATCCTTAACACATTTCCAAGAAAGACCAAAAAAAAAAGAGGTGGCTTCTCAAGGCCCCTAGACTAATGCTGCTCCATCCAGATGACTATGGTCATAAGGAGCTGGTTGATAGAGGGAACTGCTGTCTACTCTAACTGTGCTCCCTTGAAGACAAAGGCAAGTCTCCTGCTGCCATCCAAGGTCCTTTTTTTCCAGAAATGCTGGGGACTGAACTGACAGTCTACTCTATACCATATTCCTGGATTATGCCTCATACTAAAGATGCGGCCCCCATTATTTAACCAATTGACTGAATCAAAACCTTTGCACACATAGAAAGACATGCTGCACTACTGATTGTAGTCCTAAAATCTTAATAATGATGACGATTTTGGGAGACTGGATGAATTGAATTGTATCTGCACTATACAGTCACAGCAGCTTGACATCATTTTAACACCTACGGTCTCATCCTATGGAAGAATTATCTGCATAATTATAATAAGACATATCAGGACAATGGTTTAGATCTCTCTAACACAAAATTTTAACTACCTCAGCAAACTACTTATTCTAGAATTGTGCATGATGGAAACCATGCGAGTTAAAGTGATGTCAAACTGCTTTAACTGTGGTGCAGTAATAACAGTCAGGCAACTCAGTCATGGACTACAGTCAATGATCTTTCATGGCCGAGGGTCCACAACTGAGGGTACATAGCCTGGTAGTGTTTGACCCCAGTATAATAGGGTGGATATATTCTGTGGATATATCCTGCATTGCCTGTGCAAAATGTTGGTTATGAAGCACAGCTCTGCTTTTTTTAAAGCCATGTTTTCTGAAAGCTATTTTATGACAACAACAACAATTTTCCCCCATAATTAAGCAATTCCTTTGAATGTTTGATTAGGTTTCTATTTTATCTTTTAAATTGTTTTTTTCCTGAATTTAAAAAAAAATCTCTTGGACCTCCTAGTCTAGGCAATTCCCTCGCTCTCTGTTCAAATGCACCTCTTAACCAAAGCCCTCCTCGACCATCATAGTTTCCAGCTTCAGATCAACCACTCTTTCTACTTGATTTTCTAACCTGACACTTTATAGATAATGTTTTCCTGTCACTTACCTACAAGTGCAGCCCTTCCTGTATTTATTCAGAAAGGCCGATGCTCATAATGGCTTGCTTTCAAATAATTGTGCATCGGACTGCAGCACTGAACTCAGTGAGCAGGGATTCCATGCTCTCTCTGTGTGTGTTTCTACTTTCTTCATTATTACTCCCGAGTATCTGCAATAACCCCAAATCTGTAAGGTCATTTCAAGTAGTACAGATGACACATAAGGAAGTGCTTTGAGTATCTGCAATAACCCCAAATCTGTAGTACAGATGACACATAAGGAAGTGCTTCAGTTTGCTTCCTTGCTCCTAAACAACCACAAACCTAAATGCTCTGCATGTCTCATTAAGAATACCGTCTCATTAAGAATACTGTCTCATTACAGTCCTTGACTATAGAGAGCTGACAAACCTAAATGCTCTAAAATGGGGTGTTGTGATAGTGTTCATGTCTCATTAAGAATACTATCTCATTACAGTCCTTGACTATAGAGAGCTTAACAGCGTTGCTTCAATTTTTGGGAGCAGTGAGTGCTTACTGATCCAGCAGAGGGAGCACCGAAGCAGCTAGTGGAAGTCATGCAAATTACTAATTTGTGTCTTTTCTTCCCAGGCGATACTTAAGTATTTATTACTGGAAATATACCCACGCCGAAATAAAACTGAGTGCGATGTTCCCTGATCAAGGTACCAGGCTGTCAAGAAATAAAAGACAACAAAAGATTTTGACATATATTTACTGTACCGATCTAGGTGTCCTGTAAAACAGCAAAGTGGAGCAGATTCTGCTTCTGGCTTAGTACCAGTTCCCGAGTCATCGTAATCACTTCAGCTGGTGAGAAATTAGCCTTCCTTACAGTGGCAGTCATCAGGAGGAAAACACTCTAACATCAATATTTTGTTTTGAAAACTTGACAAAAAGATGCCATTTGCACTAAGTCATTCTGTAAAGCATCTCCCCTCCCTTAAGATTTCATTTTCACTTAGCTTGGATAACTAAGCTCTCAAACTCTGCCAGTCAGTTTTTCAATGTAAGCATTTGTGGATTCCTCCTGTGTTTACCTATCATCATTTGCGCAGCAGTTAAAATATGAGAAAGTAATCATCACAAAGTTCTCTGTTTTGGTTCAACATTATTATGCTGGGGAACGTGGGATCAGAAAGGCATTCCCAGGCATCCTCTTGGGGATTCCCCCGTTTCTAGGAGCACCACTATTTGAGATCCATTTTGTTTCATTACAAGCACTGATACTTGCTTCCACCTCCTAAAAACACACTTTTTTCTGCTTTTCATTAAATCAATTCCCAGGAACAGCATGTTTTTTTTCCTTCCAGCAGTTTAAGACTCATCCATCGGCTGCCTCCCTCAGATCCACAGATTTAAAGGGTGTTGGTATTTGGGAACTAGGGACATGAGATGGAGCTACAACACTCCTTTGCACATCTCATGCTTTCCTACAGCCTAGAAAACTGGTCAGCCAGCTTCAACAGGTGGAGTACAGCTGTGGTAAAGGAAGTGAACATACTCTCAGGTTTGGCGCTTTAATCAATGCAAGGAAGGTCTTTCCCCCCCAACCCACTCAGTGTTCCTCAAGACAGCTTCTGTGACTAAGGGCCCCAGTTATGGTGCTAAAAGACCCACTGCAATCCCATTAGTGTCAGAACATTGCAGTGGCTGCTCCTTAAAAGGCACTTGCTCACAAGCAGGCTCAGAGACAAGCTATGCACAAGACACATGTCCTCTAATACTCTTGCAGCCAACAAAATGGGATACAAAATAACAACTTCCAGGGCAGAGAAGAAGAAAAGTTAGTTTTTAAGGACTACACTTCCCAGGGCACTCCAGGAAACCTTACTTGGGGGGGGTGGGTCTGTGCCAGTTATAGGTACTTTGGGAGTTGGCAGTCCCAGAAAGCAACTTTTCCCATTTGTGTTATAGATCGAGGGCTCACTGTTAGAAAGCATTGTGCAGCTCACCCATCTTTTTGTTTGTTTGTTTCCTGAACACATTTTTCCTGGTAAGAACAGCGAAGAAGTAATGGGAAAAACATGGGAGTGCTGCAAACAGAAGACAACAACCTGTGAACATCTTCTAATCCTCTATAAATAACACAGTGTGGCTGTGCAGCAAAAGGCTTGATAAGAAAAGTATGTGGAATTTTTCCCACGGAATCCCTCCTAGGGGCAGGGATACCCAAAGGCTTCCTCATGCATAGACTCAAGGCACGGAGTCCCATGCAGGTGACGATAGCAAATGCTGACTGGTCATGTCAAAGACAGCCTTTTCTGAAGGATGGAAGAGGCATAATTCATCCATTTAGCCTCCTGCAGGCCTGCTAAAATGTTGTTGAGGATCATCTCTTGCATGCTCATAGAAGGAGAGAGGCAACCAGTCCAGTCCATCATAAGAACCTATTAGCAAATGTCAGACTTGGCACTAAGAAAACAGGTGGCGTTCCAAAGGAGAGGAACTTCAGAAGCCTTCCAAAAAATTTGTCCTGAATACCTTACGGCTTACAAGGATATATTTCTAGACACATAAATCATTGCTCCTAGTAGAGTGGCCAAGTTGCAACCCAGAAACATGCTCTATCCCTTTAAAATCACTAACCTGGCTTCAACCTCCCTTGGCCTCCTCCCCCAATTTCAAAGAATTAGTCCTGTTAGTACTGTTTCAGCACATTGAAGTACAGTTTAAAAATACCTGCATTGGTAGAGTTGTTCATACCCAGATGATAATCGTCATCCACGTCTGCCAATGAGCAATAACAAAAACAAAAGTATTGAGGCAGATAATTTGTTAGTCTTTAAGGTGCCCCATGATTTTTTGCTTGGTTTGGTAGATCATCTCAGAACTGCAGAGCTGGAAGGAACCCTATGAATTACTAAATCCAGCC